GGGGGCTCGTTTCTCTATTGTTCTTAGTTCTTCTTGTCTACTCTTTTGTTTTGGTGTCTGCTCTATTTTCTTGTTTGCCCTGTCGTTTTGGTGTCTGCTCTATTTTCTTGTTTTCCCTGTCGTTTTGGTGTCTGCTCTATTTTCTAGTTTTCCCTGTCGTTTTGGTATCTGCTCTATTTTCTTGTTTTCCCTGTCGTTTTGGTGTCTGCTCTATTTTCTTGTTTTCCCTGTCGTTTTGGTATCTGCTCGCACTTTCAATTTCTTTCTTTTTAGAATCTTCCTCTGTTCTTCGCTGTCCTCCCTTTTGAATAATTGTCTGCTTTGTTCGTGGTGTCTTTTGGTGTTTATTATGTTGTTTTTGGTCTTCCTTCTTATTTTAATGTCTTCTATTCTTGTTGTCGTCTTCTTGTCGTTACTTTATTTATATTAAAAATATGTTTTCCTTTCCTCTGCCAACTCTCCGGTGCCTCTCCAGTTCTTATTGTCTTTCGTTTTGTTTTGGGGTCTGTTCTGTTCTGTTGTCTGTCCTTCTGTGTGTAGTCAACAGCTTCCTCCTTAACGCAATCTAGTTGTTATTTTACCTATTCAGTTCATTGGCTAATATACCATTCGATGAAAACCAAATCTGGATATAAATTTCTCTTTGTGATATACTTCCTTTTAATATCTTCAGAATTTTCTTTCGGGTTCAGCTTGTTTCAGCTGGAAAACTTAAGTTTTTAGTCATTTAGAATTCAGTAGATTATAGCTCTGAAAAGGATAGGGTAAACCTGAGGTTCCACGGTTCTACCGAGAGAACCACGATGTAACAAGAAACACACAAGGGCAAAACCCAGATTACACGACTATTAAACGGCAATACCGATAACAGTAACGTCATCAAGTAACAGTAAAGCAGACATTAAACAGTCATAACGAGAAAACGACAACACACAAGGACAATATTGTGATTTAACGACTACACGACTGTAACATCAACACATATAAACAAAACGTTCACTTAATGAATGCTACGAGAGCTCCAAAATAACTTTACAAATTGAATAAACAAAAGTATTTGCCAATGCTAAAACGAAAATAATGTATACCGCGTCAAAAGGGAAAATATCTACAAAGCGTCAGATTACAAGGAAAAGAATATACATTGCGTCAGACAACATAGAAAAAAGTACACAGCGTCAACACACAAGTTAAAATATACAAAGCGACAGACAACAAGGAAAAAAGTACACAGCGTCAGAACACAAGAAAAAATCTACAAAGCTTTGAGAACGAAAAGAAACAAAAAGTCCATTGAACCTGTATCACTCACCTGGTTTTATACATAAGTCATTACAACTGAATGCATTAGTACATCTTCATATGAAATTTCCTCAAAACCAGACAAGTTCTATGTTTAAACCCAACTGGGACCACAATATCTGACTTTCAACTAATCAGGGGCCTCCATTGAGTTGCCATGTTAACAGATTTTGAAATAATTAATATGTCATATTACAGGGTGTAATTAGACAATACTTTAATTTTCATTCAACTATAAGCTTTTATAAACCTTGAAACCAATTTTTAACAATTTATGAAAACTACACCATAAAATATGATAATCTAGCTGTACCATTTCGGAAGACCGCATGGGTCAAATCAACCTCATTCGATTAAAAAGGGTTTTATTTCCTCAATAATGTTTTTGACCAAATTTTGTACAATCCACTCAGGCAATTAGCGGGTATTAGCGTATAACATATTAGATAATTTTCCTCTTTGGGGCCCAGCTTTCCTAGCCCCAGGGGTCGAACCAGCCTCATTTATTTAGGATATAATTGCCCTCCCCTATAGGTGCTTCGGACTTTATTTTCCCCTTTGGGGCCCTGCCTTCCTAGCCCAAGGGGTCGAACCTATCTCACTTATTTAAAAAATAATTGCCCTCCCCTATAGGTGCTTCGGACTTTATTTTCCCCTTTGGGGCCCGGCCCTCCTAGCCCCAGGGGTCGATCCAGCCTCATTTATTTAGGAAATGATTGCCCTCCCCCACTGAAGTTTCAGAGCAAATTTGGTTCAAATCGTCTCTGGTTTTTAGGAGGAGATGCGTTTTAAAGCAAACTTTTAACTAAGTTTCCCTTCAGGGCCCCGCCCCCCTGGCCTCGGGGGTCGAACCAACCTCACTTATTTAAAAAAATGATTGCCCTCCCCTATAGATGCTTCGGACTTTATTTTCCCCTTTGGGGCCCGGCCTTCCTAGCCCAAGGGGTCGAACCTATCTCACTTATTTAAAAAATGATTGCCCTCCCCTATAGATGCTTCGGACTTAATTTTCCCCTTTGGGGCCCTGCCTTCCTAGCCCAAGGGGTCGAACCAGCCTCATTTATTTAGGAAATTATTGCCCTCCCCAAATGAAGTTTCAGAGCAAATTTGATTAAAATCGTCTCTAGTTTTTAGGCGGAGATGCGTTTTAAAGCATTTTTTAGCTAAGTTCCTCTTCAGGGCCCCTCCCCCCTGGCCTCACGGGTCGAACCAACCTCATTTATTTAAGAAATGATTGCCCTACCCTTGTGATACTTCAGACTAAATTTGGTTGAAATCCTCTCTGGTGTTTAGGAGGAGATGCGTTTTAAAGCAAATTAAGCTAAGTTCCCCTTCAGGGCCCCGCCCCCTGGCCTCAGGGGTCGAACAAACCTCATTTATTTAAGAAATGATTGCCCGTCCCTAATGATGCTTCAGTCCAAATTTGGTTGAAATCCTCTTTGGCGTTAAGAAGGAGATGAGTTTTAAAGAAAAAATTGACGACGGACGACGACGGACGTTGCGCCACGGCATAAGCTCACTGTGGTCCTTCAGAACAGGTGAGCTAAAACTGAACACAGCGTCAAAATGTTAGGGAAAGCACTACAATGCGTTGAATGCAAGGAGAAAATAAAGCACAGCTTCAGAACACAAGGGGGAAATGTCCACAGTGTTAACATGCAAGGACAAATCTGTTTAGTGTCAGAACAAAAGGAAAACATCTTCACGGCGTCAATATCCAAAGGAAAAACCTATAAAGAGTCAAAATGCAAAGACAAAATAATCTGAACAGCGTACAGAGCGTATACAAAGCGTCAAAACAAAAAAGAAAACTCTACAATTCGTCAGACCTCAAGGAAAAAAGAACACCGCGTCAGAATACAAGAAAAAAATATGCACAGCGTCAGAACATGCAAAACAGAAGCAACAAAGAATCAGAACACAAGCGAAAAAATCTGAACAGCGTCAGAACAAAAGGAAAAAAACACATAATAAAAAAACAAGAAGAAAAATCTATACAGGGTTAAAATGCTAGGAAAACAAATGGACAACGTGTACACAGCGTCAAAATACAAGGACAAAATACTACATAGCGTCAGAACATATGGACAACATGTACACAGCGTCAAAATGCAAGGACAAAATCTTCATAGCGTCAGAACAAATGGACAACATGTACACAGCGTCAAAAAATACAAGGACAAAATACTACATAGCGTCAGAACATATGGACAAAATGTACACAGCGTCAAAATGCAAGGACAAAATCTTCATAGCGTCAGAACAAATGAACAACATGTACACAGCGTCAAAATACAAGGACAAAATACTACATAGCGTAAGAACAAATGAACAACATGTACACAGCGTCAAAATACAAGGAAAAAATCTTCATAGCGTCAGAACAAATGGACAACATGTACACAGCGTCAAAATACAAGGACAAAATACAACATAGCGTCAGAACAAAAATCTACACGGCGTCAGAACAAAAATCTACATGGCGTCAATATGCAAGGAAAAAAAGCAACAAAACATCAGAATACAAGGGGGAAATCTTCAATGTGACAACATGCAAGGACAAAATCTTCATAGCGTCAGAACAAAAGGAAACCAAAGGGATCTTGGCACACATCATTGTACCATCTTTATTGGTTCTTCATCTGTATGATCTTTTCTTTTCTTTTCTCTCATCTGTTTGATCGAGTCATGTTAACTGCACCTTGAGATAAACTTTTGATCTAAATTAAAGAAGCATTGTACCAACAATTGCCATTGAGAAAGCACATATTTGTATTATAAAAGGATAGAAAAGTATGATTTATACAACTATACAATAAGGAAACAAGAATATATAATAAAGAAGTGAGATTGTATTGATACTTTACTTGCTCGTATGAAAATGATGTTACAGCATTATGCTTTATATGCGTACATAAATTCAGGTAGAGAGAGAGAGAGTGAGTGAGCATATACTCTGCACAACTGTCATGTCATGTGATCGAAAATTAATTCTCCGGTGAATTTTAATATCATTAATGAAAGTGGTAATATATTAGTATGCTTTAGAATAAAGTACTATTACGCTGATATAGATCACATTTGGAGTACCCTAAAACGTCAACTGATTTATCGGGCCCACTAGGTTTACCGTTACCGTGGACATCTGGTGACACCTCCCTTGATCCTACGTAACAAGGACAGACATCATACACATAAACTAATGCTGGTGGGAAATACTGTAATACAATGTCACATCAGTGCCGATTTGTTATTAGTGTCCGAATGTTATTGTCGACGGTTCAGCATTACCAAACATACGGTTGATTAAAACTGCTCTATGGTGTCGTGAGCGATGATGAGTTTTCTTTGTATTTTCCAGTTTTATTATGGTTAATTTATCAGGAAATCAGATGCGACACGATTTGTATCGACAAATTTAATTACGTATATGCAAACAGAAAAAATATTGAACTTAATTTGCACCGCATTCGGCGAGAATTACGGCAAAGAGTGCCGGGTTGCCAGAAATCAGTGGCCCCGCATCCGCGACGCGTGCTGCAAACATCCTATCCAAACACACTCATTATACTTCCACATCACAGAAGATTAGTCAATTTATTGTACAAATGATCTCTGTGACTTGCGCATGCTCACTAGAAAAAAAGTGGCATATGGATTCACGGTTTGAAATCGAACATAAGTGGTGGGCCATTGCCATGTTGTTATGTGTGTATGATAAAGTCATCAGCTAAGCGCTAGGAAGCGTGCGCATTCTCTAAATCAAAACTGTGGTGAAAATTACGGAGGGGCTGAAATTTGCATCATTGTTCAGACTCACGAAGCGTGTACGAAGGCCCTTAGACTTCACCAAGGCGTCAATGATTTCGTTTGTACCGTTAGGATTGTCATTTTTGGCAATCTATTATAATCTGGCATGAAACCTTGGCGTCATCGGATATCACTGAAAGGATATATAGATATATGACTTTCGGATATAACTTGGATTAAGAGGGTATTTCCTTTGAGATAGGACTGGGATTTATATGGTATTCCTGTGGGATAGGAATGGAATTGATAGGGTATCACTTATCTAAAGGACTGTTATTGGTAGGGTATCACTTATCTAAAGGACTGGTATTGGTAGGGTATCACTTTGGGATAGGACTTGGATTAATAGGGTATCACTTTGGGCTGGGATTGCTGGGGTATTACTTTTGGCTAGGACTGGGATTTAAAGGTTATTACTGTGGGATAGGAATGGAATTGATAGGGTATCACTTTGGGATAGGACTGGGATTTACAGGGTGTTACTCTAGGATAGAACTGGAATTTATGGGGTATCACTTTACGATAGGACGTTAAAAGACATTTTAACATAGAACGGGGACTCACAGAGAATCAATAAGAAAAGGACTGGGATTCATAGGGTATCATTTTAACAAAGAACGGGGACTCACAGAGAATCAATAAGAAAAGGACTGAGATTCATAGGGTATCAATTTAACATAGAACGGGGACTCACAGAGAATCAATAAGAAAAGGACTGGGATTCATTATTCTCTTTATTTCCTCCGAATCGAAGATTCCCAAACAGAACAATACATATATGCATTCATTGAAGATTGACAAAGTAACTTACATGTTATATGACAATATAGAAACAGAAATTCAAAAGATAAATTGTATTGTAAAATAAGGGTTATGCTGGAGTTAACTCCCCTTTCCGTCACTACGCTCCTTAACTTACTTAAAAGTTACTTAAGGTGGCTCCACACATCGTCATCAGCGTCCATTTTCGTGACGTACTTCCGGAAAAAGTACAGCTCGGACTCAATTATCTTGATCGAAATGTGCATGTACACCGTGTCGTCATTTCCGTATTGCGTATCGGGCATTCAATATCGTAGTGCAAATTATGATAGCACCTGGGTCGTTTGCGTTTAAACGGTCAAACCGATCGGACCACTGTTGTTCGTTTA